CGAGTGGAAACATGGTTAAACTGAAAACATAGCGTTTGTAAGTCTTCTTGTGTAAAAGTGTAGGTTCATAGTCATTGAAAAGATGAAGGATACACGAATTTTCCTGAAGGTTCTTGTGTCGTTTCATAAACGGGTTGAGCTGCAGTGTACGCAATGTGAGCTCACACTCCTTCGCGAATACTGCGTAATACGAGCGAAAGAGCAACAATCTACTGTGAAAAGTTTGCACCTGATAGTAAAATCTTTCCATCGAATCGTTTGCTTATGATTGGTAGGCTGTCGTCCGGAATTGTGAGTTTCTTAAAAGTGTATGAAAACGACGAAAAATTCCAAATTTGAACTGGCCTCCACGGTCTGTAGTGATAGTAAAAAGGCCTACAAGATTTGTTACCCATCGTTAGACGTGGGCACGATCCTCTGTTTTAGCAGTAATGTCTTTAATGGGCACTGCTTCTGACCAATGTGTGAAACGGTCTACACAGTGTTAATTTGAACTTGGTAAGGGTCCTACAAAACAAGAATGTACGTGTTTGAACCGAATGTCAAGAGATGCAATTTTAATGTCTACACACTTCAAATTTCTGGCAGCTTATACATATGTGTATTCACCCCCTCAGATCATTATTTATATCAAGCCAATAAAATCGTTATCCCATGAGCTTGACGGTTGAACAAACATCTGGTTGAGAACTTCAAAGCAACGTATTGAGGACGTTAAGGTTCCGGCACGATTGAACGACTCATATTTGTCAAAGGTAACTCGTGCTGAAGGTCAGTGTCATCTTTATGAAGCTAGCCGAGTTTAAGAATGTAGATTCATGGAAAACAGTCCAAGGAAGTTATACGAAGCAGGGCGTCTTCAAATGCATTTTTCACCCCAGAAATATGATGTATATTTGAGATCAACTGAGTGACGTAGTGCAGTCACCAAGACTCTTTAGGGAAAACTTGTCTGAGAAAAGGCTTAAAAAGATTGTGAGAGGTTTGTTTGTCAGTGAAAGGTGAATTCTCAACCTTTCATATTGTTGAAAGTGCAGTACAACATAAAGCATAGCTAGGAGTTCTCTACCGAACGTGCTATATTTCGATTTTCCAAGAACAGTCGTACCTTTAATGTGGTTGTCAAATCATGAATGTGCCTCAACGACTAACGATCAGTAATCGTCCTCGTAGTCAGTGGCTGCTGATAACCTACAACCAGAAAATGAAGTTCCACAAACAGATAATTATGTTTTGTCATCTACTATGGCGTTGTAGAAGGTCTGTACTAAAGAGTGGCATATAAACATCTGCAGTGAGCAAAATGCAGTGAATGGGTATGTAGAATTATGGTCTACTATGATATAAGTACTGCTCTAATAATAGACCTAATCCTAAAATACCATACTTTTCATGATATAACTGTCTAATCTATAAGATCATACGTAGAAGTCATACCATCGTCTACACCAACTCATCGTATCGTAACAACCACCAATAAATGATGTAGAACAAGCTTAGGCTCGAGATAGAACGGTATATTTAGTATGAATAAAAGATATAAGATAACATTTAACAAATTCGACGCCTGTAAGGCCGAGACATGCCATTCGATCAACCGTTATTAATTCAATTCCTTGTTCCCGCCTTTTCCGTCGCTGGGTATTTCTCTGCGTTAAATATGGAATATCTATTTTCCGAGTTGTCTCGTGTTCAGCTTTGAGATTTTGTGGTTATGGTTCAATGCAACTACAGGTATGCGTAAACTAATATTTGGACAAAAACATCTCTTATCATATGTGTTTATTGTTTTTCTATTTCCCTCCTTTGAAATGAAGACCGATTATTTTCGTGAACGCTAGCGTCTGCCTCATCTCGAAGGATCACTGAACACTCGTCATCACAAAATTGACGTACAATAGACGCTTATCAGCGAGGGAGTTTCCCGAAAGGTTTTTCTTATAGGACTGTGTGGATGTCGGGCAGCCGCATGGTTTTCTAAAATTTCGTCAGGAATCATCAAATGTATTGTAGTACCAACACCATTCTGGATTGTCGGTCCCTCGCGATCTAGAGACGGGTCATTTTCGTGTCGGGCTTTCTCGAGAATTTTCGGAGCGTCTGTGATTATGATGAACATTAGGATAGCGAACGAGAGCATGAAATAAGTCTGAAACGTCATCTCGTGTCGCTTTACGATTTTTTCACATAGTAAACCTTGAAGAAGAAATGTTAAGATGTTGCCATCCGCCTTGGCACGGCAGGTACGATGGAACGCTACAAATGTGTAAGAAACAAGTGTACTACAAAAATTCGGTAAGCTCAAAGAAAATATGAAGTGAAGTTGGCACAATATGTACTCAAGTAGCCCAAGAAAGTATTCTCGTACATAAACTACAGAACAAGGATGCATCATCGGATATCCAACATAATTAAAGAAGGGAATGAATCTTAAATGATAGAGGAAGATCAGGAAAAAGCAGAGGTTATGGGTGACTATTTTGGGGCAGTTTTCACTCAGGAACTTCCTCTAGACAACAAACCACACCGAAATATGGAGTCAACAATCCACCTGCTCACTGTGGACTTCGATCAAGACGATGTGCATATTAAGTATGCAGAGGAATATACCAATAATTAACGTGTTAAGCCGAATGGTGTCCTTGCACGTTCAATGTACATTCCCTATTGGTCGATATTTACTTCACTTGTTTAGTATTGTGTAAATGTTGTTTTCTATTTTTATGGTACGATGTGGTCTGCTTGATTAGTATATAAACAGAGTGTTTGAAATATAATGATTCATATCTCAGAGGCTGTGACTCAACTGGCTGGGATAGACAGCGAAGCAGGGCCAATCGGGACTCTGGGTCGTTCATTACGTGTTTACCTGTCACCGAATCGATCGATATGTACACTGCTTATCAAAACCTGCAGCCATCCGTTACAACAGTGCTTAAGGCTCTTAGCACCTTAAACATGGAGAAGTCAACAGGACCAGATGAATTACACCCCAAAATCTTGAGGCGTTTTGCTCAATATATCGCGGCCCTACTGACTGTGATATTCAATATGTCACTTGACCAAGGTGTATTACCTATAGACTGGAAGGACGCAATCGTCACTCGCATACATAAAATAGGACCAAGACAAAATCATCCACCTGAGCTACAAATCTTCTCCACCATCTCAAGACAACTTCCATCGAACTACATACCTGTAAGCCTCAACAGTGTTGTAGTTAAAATATTGGAAAGAACAGTCGAACGGACCACAATGGCAATCATGGAAACCAATTACTTGCTAAATATAGAACAATATGGTTTTGGAATAGTCTGTCGTGTGCAACGGACCTCCTCATAGTAAGGAAAGCTTGGATAAAGGCGCTAGACAATGGAAACTCAGTGGACATTGTCTAAATAGACTTCAGTAAGGCTTTTGACAAGGTGCCAACAAATAGACTGACATTGAAGTTGGAAAACCTTGGTATTGCCGGACCTCTTTTAAAATGGATTAAGGATTTCCTAGTAGATCGTAGACAGAAAGTAAGAATAAATTCCAAGTGCTCCATCTAGAGACCAGTACTTAGTGGAGTACCTCAATGTTCCGTCCTAGGTCATTTACTTTTTAAAATGTATATTAATGATCTTCCAAGTATAGCACAGTCTCCAATGCTATTATACGCTGACGATGTAAAGATTTGGCGAGTAATAACTGGAGACGTAGCCGCATGTGCTCTTCAGGCAGACTTGACTAATATGAGTGGCTGATGCCTATCAACGTGGCTAAGTGTGACTACATGAGTTTTGGGGAGTCAAAGGTCATACGATGCAACATAGGGGAAGTGTTTTTACCCGTGGTTCGGTCTCATAGGGATCTAAGAGTGACAGTGAGTTATGGTCTTAAGACGATGGCCCATCGCCGGGAGGTCGCTGCTATAGAGTTTCGAACCCTTTGTGCCTTAAAACGGACACTCACTAAGTTAGATACTACAATGGTCGCCCCAGTATGCACATCCTTGGTGAGAACTAAGCTTGAGAACTGAGTTCAGGCTGCAAGCCTCTTGTTTAAAAGGTGACTCGGATATCTTAGAAAAATTACAGAAGGCAGCTACCCGTGCAATTCCAGAACTCCGAGGTTTACAATACAAAGACCGGCTTGTAAAGCTGGACCTCTTTACTCTGTCCTAATGCAGAATAAGGGGAGATCTAATTTTGATGTACAGAATACCGAGAAGCTATTTTGGACCTAACTTATTCTCTCTTTTTCCTCCCACTCGATCGGAACATTTCAGGGGACATAGCAGTCGAGTAGAAAAGCCAAGAACGAACAAAATACCCGTGGCATATAGGTTTTCACATTGAGTCATCAGTACTTAGAACCTGCTGCCCAAAGCAACGGTGTCCGCACCTTCAATTGACTCTTTCAAGAGAAGACTGGACACTCACAGAAGCATGCTAGAAAAGGAATAACATAGGCCATAGGCTTTCTGTCCTTACTACACAAATCTGAATCTCGATGCTGATGGATATAATGATGTATAGAACCTGGCCGGCAAATGAAGCCAGTTTGTTTACGGCGTTATTTGGAATTTAGACAAGAACTGCCTGCATCTCTAGAAGAAGCTCACAAAAGATAAGTTACATACACGGGCCCTCACCATAGGTCTGCTGGACAGTGGTCTTCCGAATAGGTAGCAATATATCTGATGCTGCGTCGTGTTGCAACTCGCCGTTATGGAAAAGCTCGGTAAAATAGACATGAATTTTGTTCAATAAATCACTGTGACATCACCTTGGTGCTAACTTCACAATTAATCTGAAAATCAGTTTTCCAAACAAACATAAACGATGGTTACATTCACCACGCGAAACGAAAATATGAAAACCACAATGTCCGATTCCTTTTGTCACGACGTAAAGAACCTAAAAAAAATTTAGTTCACGATTTTTTGTATTTGAAAACTCCCTTTGTGTGAGATTTCTTAAAGTCTTATATTTTTCAATACATGAAGATCAAGCGCACTTATTAAACAATTTTTCTGTAAGTCGCGCATATTTTGCTTTGTTCTGGTTTCGTTTTAGTTTCGACATACGTTTCATTCATTTATGAACTGTAACCAGGTATTACGCTTGCTTGAATAACGTCACATTATTGAGTTGAAAAGAACAAATCCTATCTTCAATAATCGATGGATTATTTCTTTTCGTTTTGTTATCGGTCTTGCGAATGCTTTGTTATGTACTCAAATCTTTTTTTCTAAAGTCTTTTATTTTCACCCACTAAATATTTGTTGATGCACACTAAATATTCTCAGAACTTATCAGTTTTTGTCTCATAACGCCTCCGTTAGCACACCGCCGTCATGAAGGTTGTCACGGAAAATAGATCATAAAATTTGCACGATGAAGCAGCCACACCATTTTTGCCAGACCTAAAAGGTTTGATATTGCAAATTAATAAGATATTGAAATGAGAAATGTGGTGTTGACCGAAATAGTAATGGGACAGCTATGAATTGATTTTGGTGAGGAGCTGGAAGTAAATGAACTCTCTGGTTATGCGTTTTTAGTTGCCCGTCTAAACTCTAGAGTTTTTAAAGCCTTCCTTCATCTTTTCAGTGATCTAACAACCCATTTAATATCTAGCCTTAGTGTAAATATAACCAATTCTTCTTGTAACACATTCATATTTATCCCTATTACTGACATTAAGCCATACTAATGTTATCCGTGTGTTTGTTGGTCAGTCTCGCTTTATTTACTGAGGGTATTTTGTCTACTAGTAACATCAATTCTGAAATCTTCGAAGGCAAACACTTTCATGAATGACTTAATTTTCCAAGCCTCTGTAAAGCATGCTAATTTATTGTTCGATTGTTCTCATGGCTGGGAATTTGAGAACTTGGCCTGTACACCACACTTTGCGTTAACAGAAATTCGATCCGCTAACTAGATCATTAAGTCAGTATCTACAAGGTATTTATGACTCTTCGCAAACAATAGGAGTTCCATTTAATTTTATGAAATTCACCTAAAATACCTGAGCACCAGTGTATTACGAATACCACTGCAACTGTGTGGTATCTTATTGTGGATGAACAGTATTTCGGACTCTTACGTTCACGATAATAGTCAGAAATCTCAATCAAAGCCAAATAAACCACTTTTTGTTGGAGTTTGTGTTTTACCACTGTTCATCTTCAGAACTAGAATGATAATCATTCATCTATATATGGAAACTTTTAATTAGTAAACCTTTATTGTTGTGGGTCAAAAGCCGATAATAACTATACAGTCGTTGACTATAGAATTCTTAACATATCTTCAGCCGTATTTAGAACTTATTAACTGCATATATTTAAACCTGTGCTAATATCCACATTTAAATTCTGACCGATAATATTGCTCAATTAGCATAATATTCACGGACTCTTTAAAGCGCTTTCATTGTCTTATCTTGTGCCAATTATGTTTTTGCCTAGATAAGCATTGTGTTTTGTAAACTTAAGATTGATTTTGTGTCATACCTCTTTGTGCTTCATTTTATCTAAGTACATAGGAAATATTGTCCATTTGTATTGACACTTGAATGTTGCTTGGATAATGTTCCTTTATTCTAAATGCATTTCTCACTTTCGATCAATGTTAGGAGACCTGTTGTAAGATTATTACAGTTAGCTGTTTGTTCATTGAATTAAACGTGATCCCATTGACATTTATAAGAAACGCTACCTAAAGTGAAAAAAGTGGACTAAAGGTAGTTAGAAAAGTAACGAGAGAGTATATCGTTTTGTTGGTCACAAACTGAAAGCCAAGATACTAACTAAATTGTCAATTTTTGAAAACACAGGTAACGTTTACTCATTGTATAATGCTGTTCACCAACTCGTGAAAGTTATGATATGTTAATTGATGTCTATCTAGAATAAACAGAACTAGGGTTAGAATGGTGTTTAATACTTTAAACAGTGCGTTGTCTAAATTTTCAAATGTCACAAAGCTAGTAAAACACTTAAGTAAAATGTCGGAATGCAGAGATAAAGAACAAAAAACAAATAAAAGGGAAGCAAATTCATAGCAAATAAGTTGTTTATACTTCGAAACCATGGAAAACTAATATATATTGGATGATCAGTCACACAGTAAATTGATCTTCGTCTTAAAAATATTTACTCATTGATATTTATCATGGGCAATACATTTTACATGATGTAGGTATAGTTTGTACTGAGCACGTTACCCAGAAGAACAATGAATGAGTCACCTGGGTCGGAGAATGCGATTCAACTGAAAAAGACCTCTCGTTCGTACTAATCATTCATGTTATTTTCTGTTATAATGTGTTCACTATGTTTAGGGGAAACACATGCGTCACAAAAAGGATCAGCTACCTGTATCACAATAAATCTTTTTATTAGCTTACATTTCATTTTTACTATTCAGTTAATACGATAAAAGGTGGCCAATGTTTCTAACTTTGTTTTGTAGCAACGAACATCATCTTCTAACACAATCATTTACACTATATATTTTAATCACACATCTGTGGGAGACGGATATTATATAGCTTTTTTGGGAAAATACATATTGTTTTTACTTATTCATTTGGAAAGTTTTATAATAAAATAAATTCGTAAAACTGGCTTCACCTAACACAAATCATATGAAGAAGAGGTCAAGTGCTGAATACAGTGCGGGTAAGTGGTGCTTTCAAGCAATATTTATTTACATGCATAAGTTTATATATGTGCTATAAGTCAAATTGATTAAGAAGCCCTAATCTTTGATACAGAATTTTGATTGTAAAATGTTTTGGTGATCTCTGTATGCTAATATATGGAGTAAATTGTAGAATACACTACAACAAAGTTTCTAACTAGTTAATTCTACAATATAATTTAGTCTTACAAATACTTGAGCATCCCTGGTTGACTTGATACTTATCAACAGGTTTAGTAGTAAAAGTATTAATTGTATTTTTAATGTTGTTTTTTCATGAGTAATAATACTAAGAGCCAAGTTTATAGTGATTAAATATGCCTTGGTTACACAATTTTCAGTACGAATTTAATTCATCTTCCCTACGTGATCACTTTAATTATTATGATAAAAATATGACAACTAAGTATCAAAATACTATAATTTTTTTGGCATTATAATTAATTTTTCGGTACTATTCCGTGTATTTCCATTTTCAACTTGTTTTGTTGTGGACCCGAACAGTTCAATAAATAGTCTGTTATTATTATTATTCAAATGAAGAAAGGTTTATATCAAAGTCACTATGCGGATTAAAAATAATGAATATGTATATTTAAAATTATAGAAGTGTATGTCTTTTTACTCAATCAACCAGTTTGAAGTCATATGATTTGAAGACTTTAATTATTTCTTAAATTTATTATTATTATTATTATTAGCTTTATTCAATATTATATTTTTGGTACAATATAGAATTTTCAGCGCAAAGTATTCGCCTAACTACTATAATGAATAAAACAATACTTTGAACGACTTATGATACATATCTGGAAAAAAATTGATGACTTAGCAACATATCATTATTTAAATGTACTAAGATATTACGTGTTCTTATCTGGACGTCAGTTGTTTAAACACAATCAAATGAATTTATATGTATATTCATCATTAGTTATGTCAAAACCATTGACCTGTGCGCCCTGCTGATGTATAACATAACGGTAGTGACTTATCGATCGTATCAATGATGCGTAAACTCGTATGAGCAGTCTACAGTCCTTATTAGTCCCGATTCCTGTCCAGCCCTACCTGTTAATTCCAGAACACTAATACCAGCCTCCACGACATGAATCATGTATTTCAAGCATACGGGGTTTATATGCCAACCAAACAGACCACATCGCATCATAAACTAGTGAATAAAATTTATTCAAGATCAAGCTAAAAGTGGCTATGAACGTGGGACGTAGTGATTAATAAACAGGGCATAATTCAAGAATGGTATATCATATGATAATAGTTCATAGGTCAAAAAAAAGCTCATAATAAGAGGGACATGAATATGAATAGTTTAGTCATACGATAAAATATACGTATAGTATTAGCCCATAAATGGATCCCAACAGTTACCATTCATTATGGTTATGGGGATATAAGAATTTAAACGAATAGTTTGATTAGAATCGAGCATTAAGAATATAGTAAGAAATAATCTGATTACTGAATATAACACTGAAATGATTGAAATCTAAATCATTAAGATGTTTTCCAGTTGTATTCATGTAAACAATTGGATAAAGTGTAAAGTTCCCTTGACAAGATTTTTATCTACTATCAAAACTTCAGATGGCATTCAATCTATTTTTAACACCTTTTTTTTGTAGTTGCTTAACAATAAAACAAAAAAGTGAATTTTTTTTCTATTTAAAGAAGTTACAAATTTTCCCCTTTGTTTTCATCAGAAAAAACTAATGTCCCCCCCTTTTTTTAAAGTAAACTTCAACTTACAATTATTATTCATATGATTTTTGTAGTCAAATAATGTACACTTTCTTATAAACACTTAAAGGATATAGAAAAAATAGGGAAAAAAATATTACAATGGAATGTTTAACTAATTGGAAGTACAAATTAATCAATAAAAAAAGTATCACTTAACAAAAATGTAAATGTCCATTTACTTTTAGTCAACTTTTTCTTGTCCTATTGAATAAATAAACAAAATATTATAAACCTTTCTTATTTTTAAATGAAAAAGAAAAAAAGCTCAGTTTAACTAAATGTTTCTCATCAGAATGGGTTTAGTAAATTCAATAGTTAACATCATGAGTTAATGGAAGCTAGACCATCATGTAAAACCTGGAAACACCGGACGACTGTTTCGTCCTATTGTGGGATGCCTCAGATATGCGCATCCACGATCATGCCATGTGAGATTCAAACCCATGACCCATTATTCAACATATATTCACTGGTGATTGGCTTCAAGAATTATTTTTTGGAGTTCTACTGAAAACACGTGACCAGTGGAGTTCAACCTAGTATGACTGTTGTTGGGGATGGTTGGAAGAAAGATAGGGTTGGCCAAACCAAAACGTGACATCTAGTCTTAGTCATGTTGGTAGATGAAGACTACTTGATTGGGGCCCGCGTGACTATCGTAACCAAATGGTTGGAGACTTTTGGTGACATGGCTCAGAATCGATCACAATGGCATCGGTGTATACACACTTTGTCCTCCTTTAAACTATGAGATTAAAATCACTTCTCATTTTTCTTTCTACAAACTAATTGTTTCTCCTTGCTTCTTATTCTTATAAACAATCCTTTTTTCTCATATATTCTTACAAATGAAGTAACTACCCCTATAAATTTGGTGTTAATCTTGTTTTGCAAATGTTGTGTGACAATTTCGACCGATGCATATTTGTGTCTCGTCCTACATTGTAGCTGACTGATTGTTGTGAGGTAGTAACTCACTGATGACAATGGCGAATGTGTCGCTCAATTTCGTGAATTATTTGAAGTTACACATGAACATCGTTGGATGAAGGCCGGCTCAGTAGTGTAGAGGTTAAGCGGTCGCATGCGACACCAATAGATCTTGCGTTTGAATCTCACGAGGCGGGATCGTAGATGAACACTCTTGAGGAGTTCCACAATAAGATGAAATGTTCATCTCATAATTGTCTAGTTTCAATTGACTCATAATCTCAACTATTAAAATTAATCACATTGTTAATATATTCAATTTAGTTGAGTTCATGTTTAGAAATAATTAAAGTTGAACAACAACAAAAAAATAATGAAAATTAATTTGTTCTTAAAAAATCTTTTCTTTTTCAACCGAATTAAATTAACTTATTGATTATTTTAATGAATCCTATAAACTCGTTAAAATAATTAAAATCAAATCTTGACCTTAATAAAAATTGATTATAATTTTGTTTTTTTTATTACTTATATTAATGATTATAAGTAATATATATAATGAAGGTTAATTATTAATGATTGTGATATAATTCAATGAAAACAACAATGGATAACAATTCGTTTTTCCATTTCGTTTGAATTATGTTTAAGTAGATTATCATAAAAACCTATGTAACATTATCAAGTCATAATGAAATCATTAAATAATTAGTACTATTTTGATATGTACTATTGATGTCGATTGATATATAAGTAGTATATATCATCCATCGAAAGCGAAATATCTGACAGCAGAAAGTTAGGAAGATCGAAGAGAAGAAAACGAGAACAAAGAATGATTGATGTGGAAATGAAGGAACAATGAATTTTGAGACGATTGATCAAGATTTTGCAAATGAAGTTCTTAGATTTTACCAAGATATTCTGTAATTTTGTATTCTTGTGTTCTTGTTCACAGCACTGTGATTAGGGTTTAACAATGATTTCAGATTAACTAATAATGTCATTATTCTTTATTAAAGAAAGTGTATATACAGTTGTTTGAAGTGTGAACTGGTTAAAATCTGTCACACAAACAACAAGGCAACAATTCATCTTATAACCGATTGTTTGTCTTTGTGGTTTTTAAAAGAGCAAGTCTTATGTATAAAATGATTTCCGAAATTCTTTTATTTATTTGTCACAAACCTGTGTGCCGTATACTTTGTATTGTTTTTTTCTTACGTGACTAAATTTGTGTCGCACACTACAGAGTAACTTCAGTTAGAATTAATTAGCTAGTCCTAGTGTGAAGCTGTAACAGACATGAGGTATCAAAAGCATATGACCGATGGGAATAAATAATGGTCCCACAGTATCTCGAGTTGATCGAAGTTAAAAATTTAGAATGATTGGATATCAAATCAGTAATATTAAGAATGGATCTTAGGTCTTGGGTTCCACTTCTAAAGTAATAGTAGTTGGGGATTTTGATATGTTCTGTACTAGGACGTAACAGCTGACTAATACATCTTGGGATTTAGTAGTTGGCCAACTGAAATCAGTCTGTAAAACAGTCTTAAAACTATGCAATCTCAGAATTTCTTTTTTTTGTAATAACTTTAGTCGAAGGTTAAAGTTTATAATAGTGATTCATAAGTAACTATCACTCGGTACTGATATGAAGTGACGGTAAATATATAAAGTATTTATTGGGTTTTTTTATACTCTGCGAACCATATCATTTTCTGAGGGGTATAAACTACACTGGATATAGTTATTGTGCGAAGAATAAGCTGGACATCTAGTGTAACAGATTCAAATATTAGGATTTGTATAGAATAAGGTGTGTATATGAGATTATTTTTTATGTGGTAAACTAGTATTTATGCTTATTCTTATGAAGTTGACAACAATATGTCAAAACATAACTTTGCCAGTTACATTGATATAAGAAATTTTTTTGAACTGTACACTTGAATAATTAATCGTTTGTCACAATAGTCGGTGATTTATCAGAAACTAAGATTCACAACATAATAATTAGTAATAAACTTCAATTTATTGGGTATGAAAACACAATCACACACAAATATTGCTCTCATCTACCAGGATCACCGGGTCAGTAATAGTGAGAATAGACGCAGAGTATTGGAGGATGATGGTAAATCAGTTGATGGTGTTGTGAATCTTAATCGACTGAGATGATTGGGCCACGTGTTACGTATGCCTGAACACCAAGCAAAACGTAGTATCAGCGCTTGAAGTCACTAGCTACTAGTCATAGCCATTTTGGTAGGTGCAA